AGTGGTGAGACAAATAAACATTTCTTACCAGAAAATTCAAAGCATGGCAAAGCCATTGTGAGTAAAAGTAATATGCCGTGATTGGGTAAGCAAATAGGATTGTTGTTGTATACATATCTATAGTTTTTTTCTTTAAACTATCTGTAAGGAAATCTTTTTTTAAAGCAGTTTGAGGTCACGGCAGTATTTAAAAAGCTTGCAGATAACTCCACATATCAGCCTTTCAAATACACGGGAAAAGAATAAACCAGTTGTTCCCATCATTTTGGCAAAAGATTTTCAAATTTGTCTGAGTCACAATCAATTCTTACATTGAGCAACCAAATCCCCTCTGAACATATCTGATTTCATGCAAATAACTATAACAGGTAAGCGGCAGAAAAGAGATTTACAAAAGCTGTTCTGAGGATTTGTAGTCAGAAATGATGTAGGCATAAATGTATTTATGATTTCTGTCTGGAAGCCAAACTGCTCTCTCTGAAAACTTTCCTTGACTCCATAGAAACTTTATTTGTTGTGTTATTTGTTTCACTAAGCTCTTTAAAGTATGTCCTAATCTTTAAAGGCCGTTTGATAAATCCTTTATGTACCTGAGGGAGTCAGAGAAGGCCTCCACTCCCCATTTGGACGGACAGTATCCTCCACCAATGAGAGACAGTCTGCCCAGGATGCTGGCCACGTTAACCACCCGGCCCTGAGCCTTTTTCAGCAGGGGCAGGAACTGGAGGGTCACATCGATGACTCCTAACAGATTCACATCCAAGACCTTTGTGAAATCCTCGATCTGCATCCAGTCTGTGGGGCCGATGGGTACGGACCTGCCTGCATTATTTACCAAACCCCACAGACCTGCAGAGACAGAGGAGGAGGATACTGTTGTCAACTTTTAATCCCAGTCATTTCTCAGCAATTGCTCTTAATCCCCTTCATAAAAACGAGTTAGATCATTTAGACTACATCATTTGACTGGCTATAAACTGGAAAAACACTTTTTAGTCGTATCAAGATTACTTCTGCACACTTCAGATGTTCACACTTTGTAGTCCGGCTCACTGATAACACTGCACTGCTCTATTACTTATAATTCATCAACAAAACAACATGAGCCGTAGCTCTTCTGTGGATTAGTTTTTGTATGTGACTTTTGATTAGATTTTTTTTTGTATTTGATTAGTTCTGCAATCAAATGTTGTTTTCACTTTTGCCAAAACTGACCTTTATTTTCTCAATGAAAGTGGCAGTTCGTACTGTAAACACTCCTATGAAATGCGGTCAACAGTTGTCAACACAGACAGACTCCTCAGAGAAGCTTTCATTGGCTAATTACATGCAAGCCAACACTGATTGGTTGTTAAAGTATGACCTGATGTTTGTTTGTTTTTTAATCTTAAAACAAAGCAGGGCGCTCACAGACACACAATTACTCATAGGACACATACAGTATCAACTTAAAGGTGCACTGTGGAGTTTGGGTAGAGAAATGTGAAAGTTGGAGAAGTTTACAGATTCAGTGGTTTATGTTCATAACTCTATACTCAAACTAACTGTCCTCAGAGGGAAATCTGGTCTCTGGAACTGTTTGATGATAAAATGCTACACGAGAAGTTATGGAGGAGTGCCTGCAACAGTGAAACCGTAACTCTCTTGGTAGCTCTTTAGCTCCAAACAGTGTGATCCTTTTTTTCCTTTGAATAAAGTTTGTGTATTCAGTTCAGAAAATATAGAATAGAATTGTTTCACTTCTCCAAATTTCAAATTTCGCAACCAAATCTACGTAGTGCACCTTTAACAATGTTAGTGACATACAATGATCAGAATGTGTTTTTTAAACCAAAATCTTTATCAAATATTGTTACATACTGTAGCTTTAAGACATTACAATGATTAGATATGCATGTGATATTCTGTTTAGTCTGTTTGTTTCATGTTCACTTGTAAAACTTCATGATCATAGTGCTTTCTCAATCTTGTTTTACTACCTGTCATAGTTCAGTTTCGGCTCTGATTTATGCACACCTGTGTCTCATCTTCATTTGTCAGACCTGTATATCCACTCCTGTCACCTTGCCTCCTCTCTACCTTGCACATTGTCATACTAGTGTGTTCAAGCTCTCCAGCCTTGGTTTCAGTGTGTTTGGTGGCTGCTTTCGATTTCCTAAGGATTTTTTTTTTGTTGCCCTTACTTGGTTGTTTTTTTTTTTGTCCTCGCTGACTTCTTCAGTGTTTGATTCAAGAATGTCAAAAAAGTTTTCTTGCTAACTCGTTTTTCTGGACTTTCCTCTGGGTACGAACCCCAGATACAATTCAATGGGAAATTAATCATTTCTTTTTGGAATTTCCAAGCTAGAATCTATTATATCCCACCAACCATCCAAAAAACATGGGTGTCTTACTTCCTCCTGTCTGATAAAGTAAAGCATATCAAGCTTGAACCAGAGGATGTCTGCCTTTTCCTCATTAAAATGACTCAATGACTAATCAATAAAAACAATTATCTAAAGTTTCATCTCTAGCTTCCATAAAACGCTCTTCTTTCATTCTAACCTTACCAACCTCATCTTACTATGTTATTATGTTTTCACTTTTCTTTATTATATCTGTATTGACACCAGCACAAACCCTGCTAAACTTAAAGGGGACATATTATGAAAAATAAGGGGGGGGGGGGGTTGTTGCATTTAAAGAGACACACACACTAAAACAGAGCATTCTGAGAGAGCTGGTTTATACAGGGTCACAAACCTCCTCTGGTGCTTGATTCATGTTATATTTTGACCAAAGCACAGCACAGATGTTTCATTTAGACCACAGGGGACTGTTTGAAAAGGTGGAGAAGGGGAATAATATGTCCTCTTTAAATTGTAAAATATAAAAACTTGCAATGTCCAAATATCCAACATAACTATGGAGGTTAAGTACATTCGTGATATTTATGTCCTCCGCTTAACCAAACTCAAGTGGACCAAGCATGGTCACTAAATCCAATAAGAAATCTTAAAAGATTTAACCCTGTAAGGATCAACTTTTTATGCTCCAGCTTGTTTTGCTGTTTATCTCCTCCAGTGCCTCGCTCTGACTGGCACCCCTATCTCTGTGAGCATGTGTGCCCCCCCACCATCCATCCTGCCTCACCTCGATCTCCGACCTCTCTGCTCACAAACTCCACCGCCCTCCCGATGCTCCCACTGTCCGTAACATCCAGCAGGAGGGTCTGAAGCCTGGGGGAGGCTGCAGCAGCCAGATGTGTCGCACCTTTATCTGTGAGACACGCAGCGATGACATTGACACCTTTTCCATCTAGCTGTCTGGCCAGCAGGTTCCCAAAGCCACTGTCGCAGCCTGTGATCAACACATGCTTCCGCCCGAGGCCGTCCACCCTATAGGAGTCTCTGATGAACCAGCGGATGGAGGCAAGAGTAGCCAGAAGTAAAGCACAGGACAAGGCCAGGTGTGAGAGGATTACCTGAAACACACAATCACCAGCTTTGAACTTTTTCTTCTTCTAAATGTTCTACTCATATTATTAATGACAGGTTAAACAATGTAGAAAAATAAAGGAAATATTTTTGCAATAGAAGAGAAATCCACTTACCTCTAATAAATATGTTGTCAGATTCTCAGTTGACACCTGAGAGAAAACACAAGATGGATTTGTTTTAGTGTAAATCCAATATCCCTCACACAGAAGCAAGGAATGTTTAGATTTTAATTAGCCAATGTAACAATGTTGGTATGTACTTTACTTCACTTAGAACATTTTTTACACTTCCTCATACTTAACTACGTGTGTCTGACTGCTTCTGTTGTCAATTATGTTTCAATGAACACGTACAAATTCGTCAGCATTGTTTTGATCTCTAAAGTAATCATGTCCCCTCAGATTGAGGACTAAATCTACCTAAATTACCACAAAAGCAGTTTGCAGCTATTTTCAAGCTTTGACGCCCTCTAGTGGGGTAATGTGGTAATGACAAAGCCAAATGCGAGACCTCCGTTTTATGAAACATTAAATCAACCAGTTACTTTTCAATTTATAGTTTAACATACAAAACTGGAGCAGTGTTTAAACTACGTGCTGAATATTAAAATATTATTGAACTACTTACAACTAAATTTTGTCAATGATGTAGATAGCTGCTGAACCTTTGCACAAATAGCCTACATTAGATGTTTTACTGAATCTTGAAAATGGCGCTCATACTATTTCAAAACATGTTGCTTTGTGCACCGAAACACGAAACCCTATTTTACTGAAATGGTCCTTTAATATGACCCACAAAACCACAAAGTAGCAACATAACTCATTCTGCTATTTGAATAACAAAATAGTTAGTTAGCTAATTTTTGAACTGATTTGCTAATATCCACACACTAGCCATGTGAGCAAGCTAGCATCAAAGTCATTTAAAAGGAATGCAAGATCTATAAAATGCACAATAATAAAGGCAGACCTACCATGGCTACAGGTGTTCAGATGAAAGTTTGTAATGTCTTCCTCATCAGGGAGGGTAATGAAGTAATTTAATGCAGCCACAGTCCTCCCTTTGACAACACTGGGAGCTTCTGTTGAAGTTGTGTTAGGAGAAGTCAGTGTGTCTTCTTAAGGAGTCAAGGTCCATGTTGTGAACTACAGCGGGGCTCAATGTTTCATCAGCATGGGAATTGTGTAATACACAAAACAAGATTACATGACCTCTGGTTTTGATAACTTCACCTTAAAGCAACTCTAAAAAAAAAAAAACAGTGCAGCTATAAAGGACACACCATTTACACAAAGAAAATCCTGCCCTGTGTTTGACATTTAAGGAAATTAACAACATATGAACAGAAACAGAAAAGCCAAAGTTCTCCCAGAACAAGAGCTTTGAAAGATGTCATGTGACTCGAGAAACAAGGTCGTTATCTCTGTGATGACCTTTCACTTTCTTTAAGACCTAAACATTAATATGGCAGGCTTGATTGTGTCTGCTGGAACATAACAAAGACGACAAACACCTTTGTAAATTCAGAAAACTAGATTTATTCAATGATGTAACAGTCATATGAAGCCGTCAGTGTATTCAACCTTAAAGTGTGAATGCTCATAGGTTGTTCTCGTCATGTTACACCTAAACTGTCAAGAACGCTACAGTACAGACGCTGCTGGTTTGGGACTATTTATTCGAAGCATTCTGTCACAGATGCAGCTCGGCATGTAGGACAGAGGTAGCCAGATCAACTTGGCGTCCCATCCAACGGTGTAGCGAGCCCGAGGATAAACGGCAGAGACGGCATGCTCCATACTGTTGACCACCTTCATTAGGTTCCCGTCTGCGAGCTGGTTAATCCTCTTTTCACACAACGCAAGAGCTGAAACAGAAGACATTCGTTTCATTTTTAAGCATGCACGTTCCTGGATGGGTAGAATACAGATGATACTGTGCGATAGGATAATATGATACATGATGTGATGCAATACACTTTATTGACCCCTCTGGAAATTTGGTCCATTTTGTACGCTACCAAAAACGGGATGCCATTGAAACATTGAGCTGCTGATGCACAGCAGACGAGCTGAACAAGACATCTGCAGTTTTTCAACAGGTAAGCTCATAATTCAATAAAAAGAGGAAAACATTTATAGAAAACTGAAATTCTATCGTGGAATATTTTCTATCGTCTATTTTCTCACATATTTTTTGTCATGAAAACCTTGTTGGTTATATATATATATTATTGTATACAGTTCCTCAAACAGTGGTTTATTGCACCAGGGGTTAATGGACTTAAAGTTTCCCTGATTTAAGGAGCTGAAAGTTGACCATATACAGATCTAGAGTGTACCTAAAGACATGCTGGCTTTAATGATGGAATCATCCTAGCTACAGTATAAAAAATAACAAATATCATCACCGTTATGGTCAGTATATGTCCTATTACGCCTCACATCTTTCTTCTAAATACCTCACTTCATCACCCAGCACCCCTGGGTGGGGTTACGGTTCAAACTGTGAGCCTAAATCAATGTCAATCAGGTAAGACCAGCAGGTGAACCTGAATCTGTCGGGAAGATAAGACTATATTGAAAAGGCGTGCAGAGTAGATAAAATCACCCCAAATTTTTTTAGGTTATTTATATTTTTTTATAATAATGTATTTTTTTCCTGCTTAATGTCAAGTGTTTGTATTTCTTTTGGGTCTTTCTATTTGTATTTTATTTAATCTTTCTCTGTAATTGTCAATGGTTTATTGAAGTGATTCTGAAATGTTCTATTTAAATATTTATTTTTCTCTTTTGATGTCTTGTGTGAAGCACTTCAAATTACAGTGTTACTGAAATGAGCTATAGAAATACACTCAACTTGAATGCCCTTATTAGAGGCACAAAAAACAAAAGACTCTGTCTGCAATTTTCTCAAAAATCTACTGCTGGGATATTAACTAGAAGACTAAAAACAACAGATGAGGTCGCTGCACTGTCCTTACATGACCTGTAGAGTTAATTTTTGATTTGAATGGATTTTTACCCCCCAAACTGTCTAGGTCCAGGACAGCTGACTTCTCATTTTAAAGCACACGCTCAGATTTTCATTTACTACTCATCACTTCAATACGTCACTCCAAGCTTTGTTAATTTGGCCCCGAAGAGTCTTCATATACTTTTAGAAGTTTTGGGTTTTCTACTCTGTTTAACCATTTTTAGGATATAATTAAACAAATGTAAACTACGTGCACTTCAGCAGATTTGTTCTTTTTATTCTAAGTGAACATAGTAATTCACATTAAACGACATTCATTTAAAGTCTTCTGGTTGACTATAAATGTTCAGATGATTTGTGTTGAACAATAGCAAGCAATTAAGAAGAAAACAAGTGCATAAGTACTTAATTAACTAAGTGCACTGACTCACAATTGTCAATGAAATTACGCCCATAGTCGTCTTTGACATCCGGAGGTAATCGGCCCCAGAGTTTAGTCAGGCTGTTCTGCAGGATTGCCACATCAGTCAAACCAGTCTTGAAGAAGCCGGGCTCGATGCAGGACACTTTGACTCCGAAGTGTCCCATGGTTAAACTGAAACACAACAAATTTAGACAATAACACATTCATAAAAATCACAATGCTTTGATTAAAAAAAAAAAAAGAAAAAAAAAGAGAAATGGACGTCTCCTCTCACCGTAGGCTATCACTGAAGGCCTCCACTCCGTACTTGGACAAACAGTACGGTCCCCCAAACGTGGTGATCCTCCCGAACACGCTGGCCACGTTCACCACTCTGCCTCTGGCCTTCTTGATCAGAGACAGGACGCTCAGCGTTACATCGATTACGCCCAAAAGATTGACGCCTATCATGGACTTGTGATCCTCTATAGTGAGCCAGTCATCAGGACCAGACGGCACACCGACTCCAGCATTGTTCACTACAGCCCACAGGTCTGGAGAAACACAATAACACACGTATGGGGATTAGCTTGATAACACACTTGAGTTTGGGGGGAAACCTTTTGAGTGACACAGAGGGAAACGAGAGGTACAGTGAATGACTTAGCTTAGCTGAGCAAACATAAGAAACAGCTAACTCTTCTCTGATTGAAACTGTAATCCTGCTGACGGGCATCAGTTGTAAAATGAATGAGATCACAGCAACCAGTGAAGCAATTCACCATCACTTAAAGTATATACAGGTTCATCTACTGTTTCAGTTCATTCATAAATACAGTTTAAACACAACATGTAAAATGTTAGTAGAATGCCTCATGAGATGCTTTTAGTGAATTTTATTACTTCAGATTCATCTTCAGCTCTGTCATCACTCCATCTTTGTACTGTTAAAATAATACAGCACTGGTTTTGTTCAATCTTCTTTAAAAAGGAGTTTTTTTTTTAATATGGTAATGAAAAATAATTAAACTTAACCAGATGCCTCTATAAACCAACCGTCACTGTGAATATACATATATATGTATATGTTATTTAATTTAAATGATCAGTATACTCACACTTATTTATGTAAATACTGTAATTGACATCTTTATTGACCCATCTGTCACATAACTGCATTTTTCTTATTATCATATAACTTCAGCATCTTTTGCACTATTCACCACTGCACTGTTTCATATTAGTCTTTTCTTATTATGTTTATTGTTGATATTTAATGTTGTACCTGTTCATAAGAGAGCACAGAGAGAAGTTAAATTCCTTGTGTGTGTAAGCATACCTGGACAATAAATCTGATTCTTATAAGACCTACTAACAGTCTCTTTATTGTTATGCATAAAAATTGCTGACGCAGGGTAGATGTCTTAAGAAACAAACTTTCAGCCCCTTCTTTTGAGGGAAACTGTTCAAAATGGGCTCCACCAGCATGTTTTTATTAATGCACAACAAATCGGAGCACATTTTAAACCCCGTCAAGCTTTACGGTCAGTGTGGGAACACACAGTCCAATGTTACTGTGATGCTGCTTGGACTCTGAGAAGGCAAGATGGGGCCAACAGTCCTGTCCTGGAAAGGGGCTTTAACAGATCCAAGCTAGTTGTACCCCGCCTTTATGCTAAGCTAAGCTCAGCGGTCGCTTGTTGTAGCTTCATGTGTAATGGGCAGACGTAAGAGGGGTATCAATCAGCTCAGCTGTAGCTCTTTTTTTTAAGCAAACATGCAAACAGGGAAGCATCTGACCCTGTTTTACACATAAATAATGTACAAGTAGGGGCACTGGTGGGAAAGTGGTTAGTGCACACGCCCCATGTATGGAGGCTTTGCTCCTCCAAGCGGGTGGCCCAGGTTCGAATCCCAACTGTGGCTCCTTTCCCGCATGTCGTTCTTACATAATCTCTCGCGCCCTGATTTTTGAATCTAGCCACTGCCCTATCTCTCCATAAACGGCACAAAAAGCCCAAAAATAAATCTTAAAAAAAAATGTATATTTTATATGCAAGTATATAACATCTCTTAACTGCTGGTGACTTTAAATATATAAGTATTGGTGAATGGACTTGAGCTTGTTTAGCTCTTTTTACACCGCAGGCCACACCTACCCATTCATACAACATTTACACACTGATGGCAGGGTCTATGCTGTATCTATCTTCATTCATTCACATTTACACCATGGACACCTCGATGTGTGACTGCAGGAGCTGGGCCTCAAACCTTTTGGTTGAAAGACGACCGACTGTACCACTGATCCACAGCCACCACATCACAGGTTACGCAAAATGACCTCTTCAAATAACAAACTCACATTTCTCTCCAACCAGAGTCTTGATAAAAGCTGCTGCTTTGGAGACACTTTCAGAGTCGGTGACGTCCAGGTGAATGGTCGTCAGTCGGTCGGAGGAGGTCTTCTTCAGCTCGTCCTCGCCTTTCTCAGTGTAGCAACCCGCGATCACACAGAAGCCCAACTGGTCTAGGTGCTTGGCGAGGAGATTCCCAAAGCCGGTGTCACAGCCGGTGATGTACACATATTTGTCTGCTTTGTTGTGCACTCGTTTCCTCTCCTTGTACCAGCGATAGACGAAACCGAAAACAACCAGTCCAAGAATTGGCAGGAACATGTTTCTATGGCAAAGACAGAAAAAACACACTAAACCATAAGCATGAGCTTTGATATGTTCAGAAGTCTGACACAGTTTAGTGTCATTCTGAGTTTTCTTATTATGATGTTACTGTGATGATTAATCCAGAAATTAACTAAATTGACTTTCAGAACTCAGAAAGTGTCGCTGCAACATGTAGCCTACATTAATTTCACACTTTTTAAACTTTATCCTTATCATTACATCTGCTCAATTTCAAGAAGTGGGAGAAGCTTCCAGATTTTCTCAGAGACCAGGCTGATCTTTTAAAAGTGCTTGTTACATCAGCACAACAGTCGCAAGGTTTTTGATGTTTTTAATTGATTCAATACTTTGTAAAACTATGGTTTACTGGAAGTTATAATATCAATCTAAGGTCAAATAATGTTATCAAACTTTTTTAATGAAACATGAAGCCATTCATATTTAGAAGTAGGCCTATCTATGTGCAGAGTTGAGAAAAGTCTCAGTAAGAAGGACGCCCACCTGTGGAGATGTTTCTTACCTGTGTGATGCTGAAATACAAGTCGGGACTTGTACAACCTTCATCTTGAGCAAATTCTTCAGACAATATCAAGATATCACAAACACAGCACAAACTGAGCAGGTTGTTCAGAGCTCCACAGGTAGAAGTGATTCAACACTTCACAAGATGGAGACGGTTTGCTCTCTGTAGGCTTATTCATCACCAGCTTGGTATTCACACATGCGGTTTTCACGATTTACAGGCTAGACAAACATTCAGCGAGCACAGACGTGTTAACCCGGTTACACGAGTTTAACATCACTTCACAGTGTGTAGAGACAAAAAAAAAGAAAACTTACGTGGATATTGTTCTTCAGACACAGCACAAACGCGTCCGTGAGGCGTAACAAGATGTGAACGTCGAGGCGTACAACTGCACAATACTGAGAAAGTTTGATTTTTTCTCTTTTCTACCTGATTCATGAATATGTTTAACTGAGACTTCCGGAAAACTCAGGTGTCAGGTACTTCCAGGTACCTCCTCTTCTCCACATGTTGTGTGAACATTGCCATCTACTGGACACTCAGTGGTAATGCCAGATAGTCCGACTGCAATCATACCTATTTTTTAGCACAAAACATTAACAATTATAATAATAAAAATAATGATAATAAACTATATTTATGTAGCACTTTTTCAAAACAGGGTTACAAAGTGATTTACAAATAAAATAAAAGATAAATTGAAGGAAGACACTAATTATAAAAGTTCAAGAAAGCCACAAATCATATCAATCAAAAGGGGAAAAAAACAATTTAAAATGATTCAGACCACCGAAGATAAAAGGAAAACAAAAGATGAAACATTAAAGCGATCAAGAAAACAGTAAAGAGTAGCCCATTGATTGTATACATTTTCAAGATAGCCCAATATTACTGTATTTCTTAAATGCAGTTTGTGATAATGCTAATGTCCGGTTTAGTATTTCATTTTCAACATATTACAATAATTCATATGTCTGTTTAAAATAATATTTTGGGAGTGATTGAAGCTCCTGCTGAACTAGTGCATCACCACAAGTTGGCTTGTTGAGTTTCATAAACACTCTGTGAACATACAGTATTATAAACTGTGATCATTGTATTCACCTTTTGGTACTTCTACTCGACCTCAATAACCCTACAATAGTAGAGTGGTAAACCTCTGGATTGGGCAGTAACACAAAGCGGCCACCAGATGGCGCCATACTTCAGGTAACCGATGTTATAGTTTTTTTCCCCACTCTAGTAGTCAGCAGCATGCTTACTTCTTGAATCAAATTTGAACATTTTACAATAAGTATTATTATTTTAAAGCCATCTCACGTTTTCATATTATATTTAATACAGTTATTTTATCAGGCTTTTTAAAAAAGGGAAATGGAAAACTCTGTGCTAAAGCAAAGAAACTCTAGAAACGGATAGCCTAGTTTACAGGACATTTCTGAGGTCGTTAATCCATCACTGCTTCACAGACTTAATGAGAGCCAGTGGTTTTTTGGCCTTTCAACAACAACAACAACAACAACAACAACAACAACAACAACAACAAGAAAAACAAAAAATCAAGCTAATGTGGTATAAATCAAAGAATCTGGTAAACTTGATTTTTTTTTAGCATTAGTGATGCTAATAAATTGAGATAATGGGCTTTTAAAATATCACTTTTTAGTTTTGTCAACAAACCAACAAAATGATCACCACAGGCAACACCAACAATATGTAGCCTACCCTACCAATATTATGCTAAGCTAAGCTAGTAGTAGATGCCTATGTGGTAGATGCTTATGCGCTAGATGTGTAACATCACCATATAGGCCTGTAAATAACCCTATGGAAGAGCAGGTCAGTCTCATATATGTGACAGCAGATCACTACTCATTTGATGCAGCTTAGTTTAGCCTACAGTCAAAAACAAAGACTCTTTTGATCACATAAATATCCTACTATGACAGTGAAAAATAATCCGTCATCATCATGTATTCAAAATCTATCAGAAGCATCAAAAGGCTATATTAATACAGGCTACAGACATGTGATAGGCCTTCATGTTTTTCTAGATTTATAGCCTACAGATTGTCAAACAATGGGTATCCCTGATCTATACAGATATTACTCATTTATTTCATTTAGGACTTTACAAAAGAATTTATCTAACCTATAAAGGGGATTTCTGGAAGTATTTACAGCTGAGGAGAAGATTAGTCCATGGACTGAAAAGGGATCAGGAAGAAGAAAACAAGGTTCAGACGTGTCTGAATTTCACTTGCACTCAGTTTATATAGGAAAATGTCAAATGTCAAAACTAGAATTAGTGCGTTTAAGATTATTAAAAGGCCCTCGACAGCGAGATAGGGAGGACTGCATGATAACTCCATGCTCCAAGGGGCTGTATGTTTTTTTATTCTTTTTTATTTTTTATGTTTGTTGACTCATATCCCCAGGCATTTCTAAAGCAGAGTCTGCAATGATAATAACAGGTTGTATTGTAGCAGCCAGGCTTATTCTGCACAGGGTTACACAAGCCAGAGTTTCCATAGTGGCTCAACGTCACGACAGCTGCCTTTAAAAACATGATTTTCAGACTAAAAATGTCCAAAACAAAGCTAAGAAAACATGGAAAGCAATAATAGCTTTTATTAGGGGGGTAACATCTTAGACAGGAGAGTATTGGCAGACATGAATTGTGTTATGTTTTGAAAATACTGTAACTATGATATTTAGAGTGCTGTACAAATCATTTGAAACTTTGTTTTGTAGTTAAAAAGATCAAATACATAAAAACTTAAAATGTTAAAATATATCATTTTTAAATATCAGTTTTCTTGACCCATTTTTGTTGACACTGATACGGTAAGGCAGACTTCTCCTCGCCTGCAGCTCTCTAAGGATGATCACAGTGAGCTTCCTCCCTCCTTCCTGTGCTATTATCAATCACCTGTTGTCAATAATAACCGGTTGTAAAAAGGAGCAAACTCCGAACCAAGGCCTTCTGCTTCTTGTCCTAGCGGGCATTAACCCCAAACCTGTACTTAATTACTTTGATTGTGTTTCCTTTTGTACATTCAGTAAATTAATTAACCCTTATATGTGAAATGTTTTCAATAATAACTGGTTGTAAAAAGGAGCAAACTCCAAAACCAGGCCCTCTGCTTCTTGTCCTAGCGGGCATTAACCCCAAACCTGTACTTTAATACTTGTATTTCCTTAATTAATTAACCCTTATATGTGAAATGTGACACATTGCTGCATGGGCCAGATTTACAATTAAGCCCCTGTTATGTTATTTTCTTTATATGAACAGTAAGTACTTAAGTTAGTTATCTTCTAAAATAATAATTCAAAAGTCTGCATCACGTGTAATTGGATTGAGTGTTTTTGACACAAATTGACTCAAATGGACTCAATCTTTATCAAATTAATTGGACTGTATAAACAGAGACACTATCAGACCATAACAGACGGCCTTGCGGCAGTTTAACCGACTTTACAATCACTATTACAATGTCATCACATTCTTCGAAATTTCACGTGTATGTGGTTAGATTTGAAGAGATAATGGTTTTACTAATGATAATATAAACTTTGGTTTAATGATTACATTTTGCCTCACAAAGGCAGTCTAGTAAAGGTCACGCTGCTGACACAGGTCTTATCACTCTAATGGGGGCGTGGATAATGGTAAGGCAAGGCAAGGGTTACTGAAAAATAACAGAGCTAAGAAAGGAATTTACTCAGATGAGCCTCAGTGATGCAGGTGGACTCCTAAAGCAAACAGAGAAGTTCAGGTATGTTACAATTTCATTATTTGCAACTTAAGCTGCCACACTGTGTTAATATTCAATTACACTGGCTATCACCTGGAACATCACTGATAATGTCAAAACCTGTGTCCTTTGTCATGTGTAAAAAAGTGAATCATCATTGAGCAAATCTATAAGATAAATATATGTTTATAAAAAGAGAACATTTGTTTTGAGAGATCATAAAAAAATAACACTGCACATACATAATGACATTTTTTTTAGGAATAATAAACATCTAATCTATTAAAATTGAACTTTGTAGATGATTATCAACAATCTGACTCTGAAAACTCGGTGAAGGTGACATTATTTTGAAATGGTAGTAGATTAGACTGAATGGATCCGACTGATTAACCTCCAAATCTAAAATAAGAATTTGTTTTGACTTCACCTTTGGAGGTGAGGACACACCTTTCTCAGAGACGCAAACATGAAGAAATCAGTCAAACTTGAAACGGCACCGGGAGAGATAAAAAAGGTGAGTGATCTTTATCCTTGCCAAAAAAAAGGGACACAATAACAGTAATGTTTTATTATATAAAAAAAGAAAGTCTTAATAAAGTTTTTCCTCTTTTTGCAGACGTTGAGAGTGGGTAAGTTTGTATTGCAAAAACAAAAAATGGATTCAGACCACAATACATTTGCAGTTTTAAAAATATTTAAACTTAAATTAACTTTTTTTTACAGAGATGAAAAAAAAAGACACCCAGTGTGGGATACTTCCAGTTGGTAAATATCATGTCTTTATTCTTTTTAAATTTGTCATATAAAGATAAAGCCCATCCAACATTTTCCAGACATTTTGAACAGAGCTGAAAACAGTTTTTCTGAGCTCATTAAATTGTAACTTTTTAGATATATTGTGTCCGATAGACGCTACACATATACAACATTTAAAGTAAGCTCAAACTTAAACAGCTACAGCAGTAAAAATGCATGAGGCTAATGCTAATCATGTATAATTGTAAAACACAAACAGGGACTATTTTCCAGGCTTTTCAATCGATGCTTTCAGTAAAATTTGGCTCATGATACTTGGACTTTCACTTGAGTTTGTGTAGTTTCTCAGTGCATTATTGATATCTTAATGAGGTGATACACCTAAACACTCCTTCCAAACTTGTCAGATGAATAATTAAAAAAAAATCTACAAATTCCTTTTTTTTGCAGTTTCGTTTTGCCACTCGCAAAGACGTGGTGCTGATGGTGGTGGGGGGCTTGTGTGCCCTCATACACGGAGCAGCTTCACCTCTCATGCTGCTGGTTTATGGCATGATGACAAACACTTTTGTGGCTTATGAGTTTGAGATCCAAGAACTGAAAGACCCAAACAAGACATGCATCAATAACACAATCTATTGGAGAAATGAGTCAGTATATGAGACACCTGAAAACAGCACTTTGTACTGCGGGTGAGTCTCACATTTAGAGTTAATGGGATTAATGATTCAGAGAAGAGCTGCTGTTAGATTCATTTTGTTGTCTCTGCAGGGTGGATATTGAAGCACAGATGACCATGTTTGCATACTACTATGTTGGAATTGGGGTAGGAGTTCTGGTTGTCAGTTACTTTCAGGTGAGTATTTCGTCTTCATTTTAAACCCTCTTAAGGCATTTTGCTTTATGATATTGTAATGCATATTTTCACAAACTATAAATGATTCTATTCTCTGATTTT